GAGAGCCACACACCCCCCCAGAGAGCCCATACATACCACCAGAGGGACCACAGAGCCCACCCAAAAGCCATATTAGACTGTCTGAGAGCTGCACAGCTCCCCTGAGAGCCTGTACAGACCACCAGAAACCCCACAGAGCCCACTTGAGAGCCGCACAGCCCCCCGAGAGCCCGTATAGATCACCTCAGAACTGCAGAGCCCCCCTGAGAGTATTCAGGTCTAATGGAAGGGTTGGCACTTTGAGATACATAAGTTGGTTTAGTGATCCAGTTTGGGCACTCCGGCTCAAAAAGGTTCGCCATCACTGACCTATAGTATGCAAACAAATAATGAACCTTTATCCCAACCAACAATCAAATTCTACATTGTCCCCGTCTTACTCAATTGTTGAAATACAGTAAATGTTATTTATTTGTGTACTAAAACAAGTTCCCTATACTGACTAAAAGCTGTAGTAAACCGCCAACAAAGACAGGACAATAATGGGTCCCCAGGAGGTGTTTTCTATAATGTGCTAGTATGCACAGTATATGAGCACATTATGAGCAACTTACCTTCCAGGTGATCCTTTCCAGCAATGCAATGTCAGTGGTCTCTACCTTTGCTGGTGCTGCCATCTTCACCTGTTCTTCTTGCAGGTTTAGCGCCTTCAGTAAATTAATTGACTGGGCCTGGATTATGTATCTCCCACACATGCGCACAGGAATGACTTCATTCCAGCATAGGGCCTTTCCAAGCATGCACAGCTTCGTGTATACCAATGCTGACAGGCAGGAATGGAAACATTTATGACAGAAGGAACGTACAGGGTCTCTTCTGTCATAAAGAACATACCTCTCAACATTCTTTACTTTACTTCCACTGTGAAGTGACTACATGCAATACAGTCTGATTGTACAGTCTCCTTTAAATTTACCAACAACTACAGTGTATAGTGCAAAGGTGTACCTGCTTGGAATTACATTGAATGGATTGTTTACATAGATCCTGCATTACAAAGTTAGAGAATTATATGGAAATGTTACTGTCAGATTGTAATGTTTGTGGACAATTTTACTCCGATTATATCTTCCTTAAATGTCACTGCACAAGGAATATTGTGCAATCCGCTTTTTAGTTATTTATCAAAGTTAACTAACAGCTTTTTTTAATGTTCCAGCAAAATGTGTGCCTTAAACCTCCTGTATTTACAGATCAGTAGTGTGTGTCTCTGCAGACATTGTTGCACCTGTTTGCCCCATTATGATCTAGCGTGTCAAATGTATTTTAATGTAAATCAGTTATTCTACTTATCTCCTACATCCTTTTATAAACAGTATCTCCTTTCATTCTGAACTATTTCCGAGCGATATCGCCGCACATGTTTACACAACTGTTGTTAGCACAACAGGTGACCATGCGCCTTTGTTTTCTGGAAGCTCAGGCATCATGGAAGGCAAAAATATCATAAGATGTTTCTGAGTGTTTAATACTATGTAGGAGGAATTCAGAAAGTTAAATTCAGGGGAATGCAATTAGAGATTATTGGCACATGTGTAATGAGGTAATGCTTCAAAGAGAGAATTGTTCCACATTTCTTCCTGCTTCTTGAAACCTTCCCATGGGAAAGGAAACTTGAGCAAATCCTGTGGCATTCATAATAGGAGAGCAGGTAATAGATCCAGACTGTGTTGAAAGACAAATTAGCTGCTCTTGCCTTTTGTCATTTAAAGCTGCTTAGACGTACAGTATTTCTGAATTCTATCTCGCTATTAGTAAATAGTGGAATCAGCGCTGGCTTTGTGGCAGTGATTGCATCTTCATCAATGGAAATGTAAGGAGAATGTCTAGAAAAGTTGTAAAAAGCTTGTGAAGGCTGATGCAATGATAATACACATTCACCTCCTATACACTGCTTCCAGGCTGAGTCTGGTAGATTGGCTGCATGTAGGTGAAGGGCAGGTACCAATAGTAGCAAACGAGTGTCCCTGTATCAACTGTATATTAAAGAGACCCGTCACCACTAGATGAAGCTGAGGACTGCCTTTAATAGTGTGCATGGAAATAACAGTATAAATGGAAAAGTGCAAAACATGGAAGTTTTCAGAGTAAGTCAATATGGTCAATCAATCCGATCTTAAGGCCCACAGATGCAGCCATTGACACCCATGAAGAGCCACACACATTATTTCTAAATCTGTTCCATAATGGAAATGCTAAAGGCTCTTTCCACTCTCACAGAACTTTGTAAGCAGTGAGAGAGGGGATACATTTTCATTTTTGAATCGTTTTGAATAGGTTTGTAGTTTTTTGTTTTTTTGTTATAGGTATGTTAACTTCTTTTATATCTGCTTTTGTAGAAGTAATACATCAACATACACTGTATATAATGCAATAATTCACATGACAAAAAAGTTCATGACGAAGAAGATATGTACAAAAGATAAGATTAATGTTGGTTTTGGTCATAGGGGTTGCCTAGAGGACCTTATTGTAAATGGACCACCAGTTGTTTTCTAGTGAAAAACTTTGGAAATGGACCACCAATCAAGCATATCCACTTATTGTTTTATTGAACGAATTAACTATGTCTATTTTGTCCTAGTATTATCAATTACACCATGTAGTTTTACACCCCATTCACACTGAGTGACATGGATATTGCGCGTTATCCCACGCAATTTCGCACTGAGCAGCTAGGCGCTACATTTTGCAATATTGCACATTTGATCGTGCTACGTAGCGCGTTTTTTGGTCGGGACTTCGTCGCTGCTACATTGGGCTGTAACCAATCAACAGCGATCTTGATGTGACATCATTCTTTCCTTCCATTTTACAGTGCAAAAGTGACCCTTCTGTATCGCGATATCTCGCGAAGAAAACGCGCAATATCGCGGGTAATGCGCGATTTTGCGCGACATTATAGAGTCTATTGGAGCCCAGTCGCACGACATCCGCGCAAAAAAGGGTAATGTACGAGCGACAAGCTACAGCGATGAGCTACAGGCGACATTGAGCTGTGAGATGTGAACAGCTCCATTGAAATGCATTGGACAAGCTACATAGAGCGATATAGTGCGGAAATATGCACGATATCTCGTCAAAAATCGTGCAATAACCGCTCAGTGTGAACGGGGCCTTACAGTTTGAGCAGCATGTCTAGTGAATGAAGCATATAATAGTTTACAAATAATGACATCTATTTAATTGCCTGTAAAACCTTAGGTGAGTGGATTACCAACCCCTGACCTCAGCTGGCAGCTGAATGGCAGACCTGTCCGTCCAGACAACAATCACAAGATGCTGGTGCGTGAGAATGGTGTGCACTCCCTGATCATTGAGCCGGTGACCAGCAGAGATGCCGGGATATACACTTGTGTGGCCTCAAACCGAGCTGGACAGAACTCATTCAGCCTGGAACTTATTGTGGCTGGTAAGTGATGGTTTTCACTATTTATACCAAAAGCTTGTTTGGTCTCTAGGGATATGAGGCCATTGTTACCCTGGAACACAGCTAGAAAATATATATATTTTTTTTACTACTATCATAAGTATTTACATCATAATTATTAACAAAACACTAAAAGCGTGTGTGTAATGAGTGCTTATGCTGTTTTTAAATGAACATTTCCCATTAAATAACATTCTGGAGAGGTCATGGAGCACAAAAGAATGCTGAATATAATCAAAACTCTGAGATGTTTTGCCAATGTGATGCATTCCAGTGTCCGGTTATGTTTAGTTTAATACAACCAAATAAATATTCCTGAGTCACGCCATAGCTTATGAATTTGCTGAGTGAAGATGGCTAGACACTGCATATAGACAAACACGGTACAACACTCTTCTGAGTCACAGTCACAATACAGAATTTACACATACTTCCAAATTGTCCGATGTAAATTTATTTTGAATGAGTTAAAATTAGTCTTTGTCCTCATGCTTGATACATTTTCTTTACGCATGTTTTAACTAGCAGTACACACAGAGCAAGTCGGTAAACAGTGTGAAGATACACAATACCAGGATATACTGTATGAATATATATATATA